CCAATGGCATCAACAACAATAGGATCCATGTCCGAACGCTCGAACGAACTTTCTTCGGATCACACGCCTTCACTGGGTGAAGTGTACGCTACTTCGTTAAGGAAGCCACTACGAGATCGTATACTCGCTCGTGGGGCTGATATGAGAATTTTCAAGGCGCACTTGGAGGACGACTTGGACCTCAACATGGGAATTCAAGAGGAGGAGGATATTGACAACGCCATCAATATCTTCATGAACCAGATAGCACAAGCTGCAACAAGAGCTACTCCTAGAAACAGACAGCATGCAAATGAACAACGTCAGAACTCCTCCGAATTAAGCGCAAGGTGAGAAGAGAGTACGCCAGAACTGGTGATGCTTGAATCCAGCCGATTCACAATAGATTGGCCAATCGTCTTCACAAAGTGCTGGCCCGCAGGAAACAAATCCAAATTGGTAACTTGCTCGATAGCTTAGGGACGGATGCTTCTACTAACTACTCCCTGTGGAAAATAACTAAAAGGTACAAGACGCTACCCACAACAAAGTCTGCTTTTAGGGACCCTGCAGAAGGCTGGTGCCGCACTAGTCGTGACAAAGCAGAAGTGTTTGCGAACAATTCAGAGCAACGTTTTAGGCCACATGACTTTGCGCCAGAGAGCCATTGCCGAATGATTGTGAAGTCACTAGAAACCCCGTTTCAAATGGCTTTGCCCGCAGCATCTAATTTCGAAACTAAAAGTGAAGAAAGCCCCTGGCGAGGTCTTGCTGGACAACAGGATCATCAGACTACTTCCAGATCAAGCTTTGCTATTTTTGGTCCTAATTTTCAACAGCATCCTGCGTTTGGGATACTTCCCGAGAGCTTGGAAGTCGGCGAGCATCATTATGATACTCAAACCAGGAAAGCAACCATCAAATGTGAATTCGTACAGGCCTATCAGCCTTCTTCCTTCTTTAGGAAAAATAATGGAGAGGCTGATTTTAAACAGAATCCTGAGTGTTGAGGCTGTCACCCGTGCGATTCCCAAGTTCCAGTTTGGTTTCCGCAGACAGCATGGCACCCCAGAGCAACTACATAGAGTTGTCAACTTTGCGCTGGAAGCCTTGGAGGAGAAAGAGTACGCGGTGGCTGCTTTCTTGGATATCCAGCAAGCTTTTGAGAGAGTGTGGCATCCCGAACTTCTTCACAAAGCCAAGAAATTGCTAACACCACAGCTTTTCTTGCTAATACGGAGATTCCTGGAAGGACGCTCTTTTCATGTGGCGACCGATGGATATAAGTCGTCGACCAAGCCTGTAGAAGCGGGTGTTCAACAAGGTAGTGTGCTTGGCCCTACATTGTATACACTATTCTCTGCCGACATGCCAACTCACTCGTCAATCACAGCACTTGCAGGAAGGGATACGTTGGTTGCAACCTACGCTGACGATACCGCGGTGCTCACCAGAAACAGCTCCATAGATCTGGCAAAAATAGGTCTCCAAGAATATCTAGATGCATTTCAGGAATGGGCTAGGACTTGGAACGTGTGCATCAATGCAGATAAATGCGCAAACGTGACCTTTGCAAATCGGGCGCTAAATTTCCCGAGTGTGACGCTTAACATCAACATCACAGAAATATCTAGGAGTCATTCTAGACAGAAAGCTCAAATTCGAAAGCCATGTCAAGTCGCTGATGCATTCTTATAGAACTAAGTTAAATCTCATGTCCTGGCTACTCTCCGCTAAAAACATGCTTTCGATGGACAAAAAGGTTCGAATCTTCAAGTGCATTTTAGCTCCGAGCCTTTTCTACGCAATACAGGTGTACGGCATCACAGCTAAAACGCACCTCAACAAAATACGGGTACTTCAAGCCAAGACGCTGAGGAGGATCGCAGGAGCACCAAGGTACATGAGAACGGCGGACATCGAGCGCGACTTCAAAGTACCAAAAATTGGCGATAAAATTCGGGCGATTGCACAAAAATACACGGAGAGGCTTGGAGGTCACCCTAACAGCCTAGCTAGCGACTAACGCCGAGTCATCGCACTACGGTCAGGAGAAGACTGAAACGCCATCCTCAAGACCTGCTGGCTCGGGTCTTGACCTAATGATTACCAAAATGCTAAACTCAAATTTATCGCATATCCATAGGCTCAATTTATATAATTTTTCTATAATTTAGATTTATTATGTGCTGCTGACATAACTAATTTGTCTGTCTATTATTTCTGATTTGTTTAAGTTGCCCAGTTAGGTAACAGTGCACTTATCTTTGTTATCATTTCGTTATTATTTCACAATCAAAAAATAAAAATAATAAAATAAACAAAAGTGCAACTGACATTTTGCCCTGTTGACCTTTTGGCTTTCTCTTACCACCCAAATAAGTTCAGCAAGCAGCCCACAGATTGCGCTAACTCAGATCTGCTTTACGTTTTTCTACCACCGCTGCAAATATGAGATGCAAAGGAAAGGCTATCATACAAGGCTATAATACAATTTAATAAGCTTGCTACGTAACCCTCTTGCATTCTGATAGCAAAGAAGGAGGTTAGAAATTAGTCTATTGAAGTTGGTTCATTGGTTTGGCCTCGACTAGGAAGTTTTACTCCCACTGGCCCTTTCTTTTTTATCTTAGCTTCGATTTCTTTTGCAACCATATTATTCGGCCAAAAGTCGCCCGAGCATATGGCTTCAAAAAGCTCGTTAGGGACAGTTATCTTGAAAGATGAAATGTCTCTAGCATAAGAAAACTTAACCTTTTCCACCTTTACACTATTACTATTGGCTTTAGTTTTGTCTTGTTTATAAGACAACACAACAGAAGATGTTTGATCATGGGAAAGCCAAGAAACGAATATTGGTTTCTTTGGTGGAAGCGCTGAAAGAGATTTTGGTGGACCAGACATTGTTTCTGCAAAACCAACTTGAGCCGGTTCTCCGGACTCAGTAGTCCCTTATCGCGGTGTAGCTACATTTTGAGAGATAGGTGGATCCACTAATTGTGAAACCACTGCGGACAAATCGGAATTTTTAGAAGTCCCTGGTTGCATGCATTCTACTACGGGTTGTTCGGATACCGAATCTTTTTTAGCTGCTGATCTTAGCAATATTTGAGGGTTTGCTGTAATCAGCCGTTGATCCGCCGGAATGCTCTGTTGTTCTTTTGGTCGAGGTTGCGGTGTGTTCCCCTTTTGCTGCTTACCGCCAGCGGCTTTTTTGCGCTTAGGGGACTCTTCCAATAGCTTACTGCTATTAAACTGCGAATCCAGCGAAGAGAGGAGATCATCAGCTCGGCGAAAACTTTCTCTAGCAACGCCGAAACAGCTAATCATCCCCATCAAGCCGCCTTTAGTTCGGTGCATAAACGATTTAATCTCGTTCGCAGCCTCGACACAAGCGTCACAACAGAACTGCAAATCTTGCCCTTTTAAAAAGTATTTACTTGTCCGGGCAGTAAAACCGGCGCATTTGGCGTGAACCATGTTTTTACACAGCCAGCAAGTCATGTTCGATAGGTCAGAAGCTGCATGTTTTTGCAGAAGTAGACTAAATTATGGTTACTCATTCTACTTACCAAGAAAACGAAATTGAAATTTATAAGCGAGCAGTTTAAGTACCGCAAGAGCGCAGAAACTGCACGCTTATAACTTTCAAAACAAAGAAAGCGGGAGAGTAATTAAGTTAAAGTGCATGCAAGAGCAACATTAAAAATAACACTACGACTTACAACGGGGGTTACAAGAACCGAAAACACAGAACAGAACTACGAAATCAAAACAGTTTTGTTAGTTTGTGCAGAAAGATTTATATAGTAGTTGACTTGCAAAGCGAACGGAATTTAAATGAATATTTTAATAACTGAAATAAACAAATGTTTTGATAAAACCCAACGATGGTATTAAACGAAACGAAAAAAAAACACGGCCGTTCACTTTGAAAGTCAAAGATTGATGAAACTTTTATTAAAAAGTTTGAAATATGAGTCTTTTCGCTGTATAGTCTTAAGTTACACCACTTCTATAAAGCATTTCAAGACCCACTTCGTAGCCAACCTGTATCACCAAAAAAACAGTAAAATTACATTTTCTTGTACTTCATTTATATTTGATGGGTATATTTGGATTCTTTGGAATGTATAAAATGTATGTATTCTTCATCAGGATTAACAGCGGAGTCCATTACGCTCTGTATGTCTTTCTGTTCGTCTGTCCGTCCGTATGTACAAGTTATAGAGCATTTGAAGTGTTAATTGTGATGATTATCATTGCATATTTGAAAACGGGGTTCATATATTTGAGTGAGCGGAAGAGAGCGAAAAAGTTGGTAGCTCTCAGCTTGTGGTGTTTCCACGGCAGATGGCGCTTTTTTAAAATTTCTATGGTATCACAAGTTGGTTACTATAATTTGATATATGTATAAAGTTTTATTAGTTTTAATTTACGGAGTCACAATTTACAGAGTCATACGTTTGTCTTCGAAGCTTGATCCTGGCAGAGAGAGAGTGTGACCAGCCGAGTCTTTTCAATTTAGGATTTGGTTTTGGTACTGCTTCCGTCCGTTGTGCGGGTTCTTAATCTGGACCACCACATTTCTATAGTAACTCAGCTTGGTAACTATTATTTGATTTACAATGTTCTACAATTACACTCTTTTTATCTTCGAAGCTTGACCGTGGCAGAGAGAGTGTTACCAGCCGAGTCTATTCAATTTAGGATTTGGTTTTAGTACCGCTTCCATCCGCTGTGTGGCTTTTAGTGTGAACCGCCACATTTCTAAATACGCAACAGATGGGGTAAATTTTGTTTTTTAATTGTCCAGCTAAGTAACGGGTATCTTATAGTCTTGCTTTTAAGTAATTTAAATTTGTAACTAATTTAATATTTAAATAAAACATACTACACAAAACAATAAAAAAAACTTCTAATAATTCTGGCGCGTACGAATTAAAAATATGTAATATACAACAAATCTAATTTAAATTCGTTTTCAACATTTATTTTTAGGTTAAGAATATTGCAAAGCTCGAGCGGATGTCGTATACAAAAATGAAAACTTGGGATCACCTAAGATTTGTACAATCATTTCATTAAAAAGTTTTTTGAATTGTACCTGATTATTAGTGGATCCGTTGAAATACAAACTTTGAATTCGATGACAGCTGCGATGTTTCTCTTAAAATTATCCCAAAAAGCGATATCCTATGGCATAGTATTGCTTCTTATCGAAGCGATAAGCATTATTAAAAGTCATGGTAAATATAAAACAATCATACAAATTAAATATCACTTGTGTAATTTTAAGTCAGTCAATCTTAAGATTTTCTCCAGTTAAATGTCCGGCGGTCTTATAAAAAGTGGTTTCGGGAAAAACGCTTTCATAGTTTTAAGTACGAAATTATTGGTACTTGTTGAAAAGTGTTTAATAGGAAAAGGAATTCTTATATTTTTACCTTTCCAACGAATACAAAATATCATTTTACTCCACAAGTAACGGGTATACAAATATACTTAATAATTACATTTTGTTTAACCTTATATTAACTTTAGATTAAGTGAATTTTGTGCAAAAAAAAAATCGATCATATGGATAAGATTTTATCTTTGCATAATGTATATGATATGAAATCTCTTATTTATTATATGATATGGAATCTCATATACATTATGCAAAGATAAAATAATATCCCTAAGATGACTTTTTATAAACATAATTTAAAATAAATAAAAATTACGCGTTTAATAACATGAAACGATAAATATATGTTTTGTATATAAGCAAGGGTATGAAAACTTCGATTTTCCGAAGTAAGATACTAACCTGTGTTTAGTAATTTTTGTTTATAATTATATTTTTAAGGAAACAGCGAGTCAGATGATGTAGGGCCTGAGTTTTTGTCAAAGCTGAGCAACATAACGGTACCCCTAGGACGTGATATATCATTCACCTGCGTTGTTGACAACTTGGATCAATATCGGGTAAGTATATGAAATTTTTAATGTATTCAAATAACAGGCCAATTGAAAAGTCTTTGGCTTGACACATAGATGGCACAACTGGAATCAAATCTTGATGTTTAGTTACCCTTAACCTTCAAAAAATGCGTGTATAAATTTGACGACTGTCGGATCATTATTTTGTGAATTATAGCATTTTGAGTGAAACTACTTTTGTTATTGTTGAAAATATTAATAAATAGGAATTTCGTGTGTTGATAAAATATTGTTTTTTGAAAGGAAAAAATTCAGTTAGCGCAAAAGCCTAGCTAGATGACGAGTTTCCAGACACTGCCCCAGGATAATCAACCATAAAGGATTGATATGCTAAGTATAGACGTAGTGAAAGACGGCGAACGCGGTGGACTCACAAAAGAGGTTGTTACCGATGAAAATATTAAAAAAAATTCACAAAATGATTTTGAATGATCGTAAATTAAAATTAAATGAAATAGCAGGCACTCTAAATATATCAACTGAACATCATATCATTCACGAATATTTGGGTATGAGAAAACTTTGTGCAAAGTGGCTGCCACGCGAGCTCACTTTTGACCAAAAACAAGTAGACGATTCCGACTTTTCTATTGGCCTGCTATATGTTATATATGTTTTCGTATTGCTCAGTTTTTTAAAGGAAAAAACTCTAGGAGTCGATTTGGTGGACATTTATTGATTCTTTTCTTAAATCTCTAAAAAGAATGCCCAAGCCATTGACTGCGAAGCTACGCCAACGGAGACGTCGGCATCGGATCAGTCGGTTCTTATGTATGTCAATGTATATAAATTGCGGCGACAATATAGCCGCGTATCAGAGAGAGAGCGAGTATTATGCTCAGATAGTAACGGAGCGGTCGCGCATGCCAGACATGCCGACTCATCACTTAGGCTGCCTATTGCATTCTTGTGTGTTACCTCGAACTCGAAATGCTGGGAACATTTGCTTTTAAACAAATGCTACATTGTATTTTCAGTGGGCTGGGAAAAAACATTTTTGGGCTATAAATGCCTTGTTCAATTTGATAAAGTGGCAAGATTATATTGGATTACCGTCGAGTGCGATCGTGTAGCGCGACCTGCGTTTAACTTCCTTTTCCAAGGCGCCAAACATAAGCGATAGCGAACGCAAGGTTTTGTGAGCATTTCCAGGTGATTTATCGAAAACAGGCGGGCAACTACAGGAGACGGACTAATAGCAAATATTGCGTTATTATTAATTGTCTACGATTTTGACTTAGCAGAAATTCGTTCGTTGATGATAGCTCATTTGACCTAAATAAATATGTAGGTATATCTACACAAGCAAAGTCTGGTGAATACGGCGAGTGGGGTAGCAGCTCCCAGCCAAGTGTGTTGATTGTATCCTGAACCAGTTTTGCTTTGCGTGCAGGTGCATTGCCATGGAGCAAAATTACCTTGCAGTGTCTTCTGGTCCATTTTGGTCGTTTCTCAATCAATGCATGGTTCAAATTGATAATTTGTTGTCTGTAGCGATAAGTATTAACGGTTTCACCAGGTTTTAGGAGCTCGTAGTACACCACACCTTTCTGGTCCCACCAAACACACAGCATTGTCTTCTTGCCGAATCGATATGGTTTTGCAGTCGATGTTGATGGCTGTTCCAGATTAACCCATGATTTTTTCCGTTTAGGATTCGTAAAATAAATCCATTTTTCATCGCCAGTAACAATCCGATGCAAAACTGATTTTCTTCCGTGTTTTTAAAGTAAAATTTCACAAATGCTTTTTCGGTTTTCCATCTGTCTTTTATTCAATTCATGTGGCACCCATTTTCCACACTTTTGGATCATTCCCATAGCTTTTATACGGCCAGAAACTGTTTGTTGTGCAACATTTAAGATTTCTGCCATTTGCTTTTGACTCAAAGTGTCATCTGCATCCAATATCGTTTGCAATTCGGCGTCTTCAAACTTTTTTGGTGGTCTTCCACTTTCTTCATTTCTCACTTTAAAATCATTATTTCTGAACCGTTGAAACCATGTCTCGGCAAACATTCGATGCCACTCTGCAGCACTTTTTTTTAAATGAATACAAAAAATTAATGCTTTCCGCACATCATCACTTTCTGGTACAAAATTCGACATTTTTAACACGATGAAAATTATGATGTTGTCTGTTCAATGACTTGATGTATAGTAAATATGATTCACAGATGTCATAGCAAACAAAAATAAATAAATATAGGCTCGTTCACAACAAACGTTCCCTATCGAGACATTTGTATCTTGACGCTCACTTCATACCGGTATATAGAGCTACCAGAAAACGATAACTTTGCGCAAATAATTTCAATAGTATTGAATTCCTCAAAAAAAACCTCCTCTAATGTAAAAGTTGAGTCTACTCCAGTAGCTCTAACTCTTTTGGCTTAAAAAAGACAGAGATTTTAAAAGATGGTATATCTCTAGCGTAAGAAAACTTAAGATTTTGGTGGAGCAGATATTGTTTCTGCAGAGCCAACTTGAGCCGGTAGTCCGGACTCAGTAATCCCTTGTGGCGAGGTAGCTATAAAATAAGGGATAGGTGGATCCACTAATTGTGAAACCACAGCGCACAGATCGGAATTCTTAGAAGTCTCTGGTTGCATCCAATCCTCTACGGATTGTTCGGATATCGAACCTTCTTAGCTGATGATTTGAGGGTTGGCTGCAATCGCCTGATTGCAACATCGACACAAGCGAAACTGCAAGCCTGGCCCCTATGAAAATTCATCACTTGTCTGGTCATTAAAACCATCGCTCTTGGTGTGCACCATGTTTTCACACAGCCAGCAAGTCATGTTAGACTGGTCAGACCTTATTACGAGGTCTCATTTTTTGCAGAAACAGACCAAATTATTATTACTAATTATACTTATTCGGTCCACTGGTCCAAAAAAACGAATTTCGAAACTGTAAGCGACCAGTTATAAGTACCGCAAGAGCGCAGAAACTGCACGCTTAGATGGGGAAAAGAAAACGGATAACGCACAAGTCGGCGGAGTTATATACTCCAAAAACACAGAACATGAAAATGTTTCGATAAGGCCAACCTATGGGATATCAAAAAAAATACAAATTCTTATTGCAGAAAAAAAAACAACCGTTTACTTTGAACAATAGATTTTAAGATTTAAAAAGTATAAAAACACATTTTTGTTATATATAAAATATCATGTTTATTTCTTTGTATATTATTATAGGATGTTTCACATCAGTGAACTAGACTATAGCGACTGTATAGACGGAGTATATGATGCTTGTAAAGAAAGTGTAGAGGAAATTTGATTGTTTTAAAAATAAGCAAGTTAACGAATATCACAAATACTTATTGTTTTTTCACTTTTATGTTATTTTCGAGGATTCCTTTCTTTCTTTCGAGGATTCCTTTATAAAAAAATATATAAATAACGAAATGGAATGCAATTATTAATTTATTATAAAAATTACAGGTGGCATGGATTAAATCAGATTCAAAAGCAATTCTTGGGATACACACACACATGGTCTCACTAAATCCAAGATTATCTGTGACGCACAATGGGCACAATACCTGGAAACTTCACATATCTCGAGTACAGATAAATGACTCCGGCAGTTACATGTGCCAAGTTAATACCGATCCCATGAAGAGCATCGTAAGAAAAGTTTTGTATTAGTTGGATAAGAGGGTGTGATTAAAAGGGTGTTTTGGAAAAAAAATGGGAGGCTAATGGACTCCTTTTGAGTTCTATTTTTCAGCTAAAACTTACCATTAACCAGTTGACATCTTAAACATTGTATGCTTTGCAGTCTGGACACTTAGATGTTGTTGTGCCGCCCGATATCTTAAGCCATCCAGAACAAAATCTAGAGGAAGGAGTCAGCACAGAGGGTGGAACTATTTCACTTGTATGCAGAGCGACAGGTGTTCCAAAACCAAAGGTACAGTGGCGTCGTGAGGCGGGAAAGGAAATAATACTTCGAGCGGAGAGCAGAGATAAACAAGGTTAATATGATGAAAAAATTGAATGAACTTTTTTGGTTCCCTTACAGATGGTTTAATAATTTTTAGGATTAGATTGCTTTTTTGTTGTTATTTTTGAACCTTTAAGGTCGATTTTTATTGTTTTTAATGTGTAACGTGAAGTGTGACGTGAAGTCATAAACACATAATTGATTTCGAAATTTTCGAACAAAAAAGGGACAAGCTTGTTTTCATTATTTTCGTTCTACCGACCAACACATTTTTTAAAACGTTATCTAGTTAAAAGCTTTTAGCCCGAGAAACTTTTACATGATGTTTCCTAAAACCAATTGAACTCGACGTCAAAACTCAACATAACCTTGAAAAATCGTCCATTTTTGTCTAGGTGTCTATAGAAAATTTTGTATAATCCTTTTTTACAGTATTCGCCTTTACAATATTGAATTCTTGGCACATTTAAAAAAGTAAGAGACTTTTTCTTAAATATTTTACAAATTATTTAATTTGATTCAATTTTGTACTGTTTTCAATCAGCTTTAGAGTTCTCATTTATCAAAAAAAGAATTATGATTCATTCGGTTAACGATCTAAATTTTAAATATTAGATCTTCAGTTTGTCATTAGAGTGGATTTGTGGCAAGATCCTAAAGTCTAAACTAATGGGCGATCGAGCTGACTTAAAGTTTCAAACGGAAGTTTTTGATTATGAGATGGACGGCGAGATGCGTTACAAAGCTTTAAGATTCGATTGTCTGTTAATAGTAAATATTAAGATTTTACCATTTAGTTCGTTTTTTTTATGGGCTTGCTTTGATTTAATGTGGACCCCGCGGCTGGCTCGAATAAATTAATAGCGCAAGAAAATTAATGGTGCAAAGTTGCAGCAGTACTATTTTGAGATTGCGTTCATAAGGGATAGCTAAACATAGTAGCAGACGCTTTGTCAAGACAGCTGCTGCCCAAAACTTTGAGAAGAACAAAGGACATCTTAGCATCGATACTTGAGAAATGAAAGAGGATCGGGAACACAGCCTCAAAATTTTGGTGACTATGTGATAACAGGCGACATCCTGTACCGGCATGTACCTCACAGTGCAGGAAATCAAGACATAGTAGATTGGAAGTTGTGTGTACAGAAGGCAACTATTGAGCTAACCGCACAATTCAGTTAGGAGTCGATATTGAATTTCAGTTCGTTACACCAATTAAATGCATATGAGAATGCATGGGAATAATCTGCAAAGTTTTCTAGCGCTGTCCTTTGATAAGATTTGGGGTACTTAAATATGTGCGGAGCTAAACACTTTTAATCTTCAAGTGTTTTTTACCCACCAGTGGCAAGAAACTAAGTATAAATAAAATAAAATTAAACAAAATGACAACATTAAATAGCATTGGGAAAGGCGTTTAAATAAACACAAGGCTAAAAAAACCTGCATCAAATTAAATTGTCTTTTACACCAACGAAAAAAAACTATATAACATCGCCGACATCATTCCCTCGCGAACATCAACCTTCACCAACATCATCAGTTAGATATATTAGTCTTAACTTACTTAATTACTTAAAGCTATTGATTAAACTCAAGGTCACACTATGGTTATATTTTAATTTCTTCTATAGCACAACGTTTTTTCACTTAGATTTAATCACACTTGCACTAAATTAATAACTTATAAAAACAATTAACAATTAATATGCCATCTGATAAGATAATTGACCTTCTTAAAAAGCAATCCGGGATAACTTATCAAATAACAGTGTTCAAAACTCAGGTGCATAGATCTCGAGGGGAGTCTAAAAAATACTGTACTACAAAATAATCATAGCAGATTAGTAACGATTGGTGTAAGTGATCATATATTTATACCCTTGCAGAGTGAAGGAGACATAAAAAGTATATATGTTATTCATCAGCATCACCAGGAAGGTCGATCTAGCCATGTCCGTCTTTCCGTCTGTCCGTCTGTACGTCAGTTTCTACGCAAACTAGTCCCTCAGTTTTAATGCTATCTACTTGAAACTTTTCCGAAAGTTGTCTATTGCAGGTAGTAATAAGTCCGAACGAGCCGGATCGGGCCACTTTATCATATAGCTCCCATCATATACCTACACTTGTGTTGTTGTTGATGCCTTTGCTTGCTCATTCTTTCGTCGCGATCACTCGCATACGCGTAAAGCTTATCAGCGACCCAACTGCAAGCTGCGCTTTCTACAACTACGTGGTTTTTCTATGCGTATATATCAGACAACAACATAACAATTTAGTATGTCTTTCGTTACTCGAATTAGCCCTCTCTCCAATCCTGAAGACGCTTACCATCCTACACTTGAGGTTACTTTAGAAGCTTCAGCTCCATTACAGTCATGTTCCGAAATCGAACCAGCATCTTTTCGTTGTTTTAGAAGAGCTAAATTCGCAGAATTGAATAGGCATTTATCGGAACTCGACTGGTCTTTTATGGATTCAAACGATGATGCCTTACATATTGTGGAACAGTTTTATGGTATACTCTACTCTGCTTTCGATACGTTCGTTCCCTCATTTCCCTCTGCAAACGCGCCTCAAAAGCCCCCTTGGTTCTCTCGTAGACTCTCTTTCCTGAAAAATTACATGTCTAGACTTTTTAAGAAATTGAATAGAACTGGGCTCCAAGTTGACCATTCGATGTATCTAATAGCTCGTTCAAATTTCTTACCTAAACCGTTGCAGAATAGAAGTCCAAGATAACCCCAAACAGTTCTACGCATTTGTTAATTCGAAACGAAAATCGCAACAATTTCCATCTTGCCTTCACCTTGATACGACATCTGCCTCTAGTGATGCCGATATTGCGAACTTATTTGCAAAAACTTTTTTCAGTCCACGTACTCGTCTTTCAGTTACGATAACACTTCATTCTACCCCTACCCACTTCCTCACTCCAACTGTTTTTTCACGCCCTTAATTAGTGAGGATGATGTCTTACAAAGTCTGAAAACAATCAAGATGTCCTTTTCTTCGAGCCCTGACCTTGTACCGAGCTGTGTTATAAAAAAATGTGCCGTAGCTTTGTGCAAACCTTTATCTAAACTTTTTCAAATATCCTTCCTTCATTCGTTTTTCCCTTCATAAAAAAGAAGGCAAATCGGACATTAAAAACTACCTCGGTATTGCAAAACTGAGCGCGATCCCCAAGTTTTTTGAACAGCTTATTACCGCTCAGCTACAGCACCAATGCAGCTCAGTAATGTCCCCAACTCAGCATGGTTTTATGAAACGTAGGTCAACGACTACAAATCTTCTGGAATTTACCCCAGTCATCAGAAGCGCTTTTAAAAATAACATTCAAACTGATGTTATTTTTACGGACTTCAGTAAGGCCGAACTTCGGCTGCGTGCAGACGTGTTTTATTAACGCTCCGGAAAAACATTTAGTCAATCAGTCGAAAACCTTCGAAAAATTAGTAAACGCGAGGTTTTGCGTTTCGCGATGCAAATCGCATATCGTAAACTAAAGTTTTAATTAATTAAATAATTAATCTTTACGCACTAACGATAAACAAATGAGTAAGAACGTGGATCAGCGCATTCAATGACAAAAACAACAAGACGAAGCCCGTGAATTCAGAGAGAGCAAGACAAACGTCGTCTTTCTTTGGCCCGTAGCAATGCTTATTTTACGGTGACGAGTAATACTCTAGAACCGAAAGTGCTTGAAGGTGCAAGTTTACTGACCGCCGAAAACCAGAGAGCTAGCTCTTGCTCTCCCGCCCTGCTCTTCACCGCTCAAACGCCATGGAGTGAGCAATGCAAGACTCCAACAGAGCTTCTGCCGCCTAGCGCAAGAACAACAGCAGCTACTACAACGGTCTCTGTCGCCAACAATGCTATAACGACTCCACCCTCTTCTTGTGCTGCAGGTAAAGCAACAACACAACCAAGTGCAAAAATCGGTGCAAACGGCAAAAAAAAGCTACGGTAGAAGAAGTGACAATTCTGCAAGCGGGTTCGGCCATGCGGACAGGCATGGATCGCTACATTAATATCTCCAAGCGCAAGCTATCACCCCCAAAAAACTCGGACGGCAATAAGCCAAAAATAAATCGTTCCAACAAAGGCCCTGAAAATCCCGGGCCATTAGATGAAAATAGATTTTCCATTCTGGCGGAGCCTGTAACAGAGTCGGAACAATTAGCCCCAAGGAAACTAAAGCCCCCACCTATTTTTATTCTGGAGAAGATCTCGAATGCCCTAGTCAACAAAATAGTTGAGCTTGTCAGAAAAGATAACTTTCATGTTATTCCGCTTATGAAAGGGAATAAAAGCGAAACTAAACTCCAAACCAAAACCGAAGACGATTTCCGAGCAGTGTCGAAGTACTTTAACGATACCAAAAAGAATTACTACACGTACCAGCTGAAAAGTTGCAAAGGTTTGCAAGTTGTGCTCAAGGGAATAGAACCCGATGTGACCGAAATTACAGAGGCCTTGAAAGAAAACGGTTTTTGCGCAAAAAATGTGATAAACATTAGGAAAAAAAACAAGAAGCCGCAACCACTCTTCAAGGTCGAGCTGGAGCCAGACAGCAGAACTTTGAAAAAAACGCAGTGCACCCGATCTACAAGTTGCTGTACATTCTGCACCGTAGGATCACAGTGGAAGAGCCGCACAAACGGACCGGGACAGTGCAATGCACAAATTGCCTGGAATACGATCATACCAGGGCTTACTGCACCCTCAGGTCAGTATGTGTAGCTTGTGGAAACTGCCACGGCTCCGAACCCTGCCCTGCCAACAAGGAAGACTCTCTCACTAAAAAAAGTGTAAACTGCCAACGAAACCACACCGCAAACTACACAGGCTGTCCAGTCTACAAGATGATGAAAAGTCGGATGCAACGAGCGAAAACGGCACGCTCCCTGAACACACAAAACACTTACACTCTCACCAGCAATTATAACTTTAAAATACAGGGATACACGTTCTACGGCACCGATCATCCAGATGGTAAAGCGCATGGCGGAACTGGCATCTTAA